CACCAACGCTTTTGATGTTTTAGTTATGAAGTCCTTGCCTATGCCTATGTCCTGAATGGTTTTGCCTAGGTTTTCTTCTAGGGTTTTTATGGTGTTAGGCCTTATGTTTAAGTTTTTAATCCATCTAGAGTTAATTTTAGTGTAAGGTGTTAGAAAGCGGTCCAGTTTCTGCTTTCTGCACATGGCTAGCCAGTTTTCCCAACATTTATTAAACAGGGAATCCTTTCCCCATTGATTGTTTTTATCTGGTTTGTCAAAGATCGGATGGTTGTAGATGTGTGGCATTGCCTCTGAGGCCTATGTTCTGTTCCATTGGTCTATATCTCTGTTTTGGTACCAGTGCCATGCTGTTTTGATTACTGTAGCCTTGTAGTATAGTTGGAAGTCAGGTAAGGTGATGCCTCCCACTTTGTTCTTTTTACTTAGAATTGTCTTGGCTATGCGGGCTCTCTTTTGGTTCCCTATGAAGTTTAAGGTGTTTTTTTCCAGTTCTGTGAAGAGGGTCATAGGTAGCTTGATGGAGATAGCGTTGAATGTATAAATTGCTTTGGGCAGTGTGGCCATTTTGACAATATTGATTCTTCCTAACCATGAGCATGGAATGTTTTTCCATCTGTTTGTGTCCTCTCTTATTTCCTTGAGCAGTGGTTTGTAGTTCTCCTTGAAGAGGTCCTTTACATCCTTTGTTAGTTGTATTCCTAGGTGTTTTATTCTCTTTGTAGCAATTGTAAATGGGAGTTTAATCATGATTTGGCTCTCTGTTTGTTATTGGTGTATAGGAATGCTTGTGATTTTTGCACATTGATTTTGTATCCTGAGACTTTGCTGAAGTTGCTTATCAGCTTAAGGAGATTTTGGACTGAGACAGTGGGGTCTTCTAAACATACAATCATGTCATCTGCAAATAGAGACAATTTGACTTCCTCTTTTTGTTGAAATTGTTGTTGTTTTCTGTTGGTTTGTTTTTCTTCTGACAGTCAGGCTCCTCTTCTGCAGGGCTGCTGCAGTTTGCTGGGGATCCACTCCAGACCCTCTTTGCCTGGGTATCACTAGTGGAGGCTGCAGAAGAGCAGAAATTGCTGCTTTCTCCTTCCTCTGGAAGCTTTGTCCCAGAGGGGCACTGACCTGATGCTAACCAGCACTCTCTTGTATGAGGTGTCTGGTGATCCTTGTTGGGAAGTCTCTCCCAGTCACGAGGCACAGGATTCGGGACCTGCTTAAGGAAGCAGTCTGGCTGGCTTTTAGCAGAGCAAGTGCACTGTGCTGGGGTGGCGGGGAATCCCCCTTGTTCAGATTGCCCAGACTCTTCAGAGTCAGCAGGCAGGAAAGATTAAGTCTGCTGAACCTGAGACTACAGCTGCCCCTCATCCCAGGTGCTCTGTCCTAGGGAAATGAGAGTTCTCTCTGTAAACCCTTGGTTGTTGTTGCTGAAATACCTACCGGGAGGCCATGCCTGGTGAGGTGGGATAGAGCTGTCTCCTACCTAAAGAAGCAGTCTAGCCATGATCTACCACAGCTGCTGTGCTATGCTGTGGGGAATTCTGCCCAGTCCAGACCACCTAGTTTCCCTAGCACTGGCAGGGGAAGACTGCCAACTAGAGCTGAAGTAGTGGTAGTCACCCCTCTCCCTGGGAACTCTGTCATCTTAGGCAGACTCCTGGCTGCTGTGCTGGCCCACGGGGATTTCAAGCCAGTGCATCTTAGCTTGTGGGGATCTGTGGCAGTGGGATCTGCTGAATGAGGCTGCTTGGCTCCCTGGCTTCAGCCTCCTTTCCATGGGAATGGATGGATCTCCTGCCTCACTGGAGTTCTGGGAGCTGCCAGAGTATGCAAAAACTCCTGCAGCTCAGTGCCTGCCCAAGTGGCTGCTGACAGGAGTGGCTGCTGTGGTTCTGCACAGCTTTGTGCTTGGGACCCAAGGCCCTGTGGTGTGTGCTCATGAAGGAATTTTCTCATCTGCAGTTGCAAAAACCTGTGGGAAAAGCATAGTTCCTCAGGTAGGTAGCACAATCCCCTGCCCTATTTCTTTTTCTGCAACACTAAGGGAAACTTTTCTGTTTTCCTTTGCTTGTTGCTTTTTCTCCTACTACCAACAAATGTCTGTGATGATGTTACAAAATATTGTCATTTTTATTCTTTGTTTCAGGAATCTCAGTGCTTCATTGATCACCTTTGTGTGATGGCTCTTAAATCTGTGTCTGTAGCTCTGAGCAATTCCTCTGAGCCCCAAGCTCATGTCTCCTTTTCCCAACTTGGCAATTTGACTTCTGGATAATTCATCAACACCTGAAATCTCAGTCAATTCCAGTTACATTTGTCATTTTCCCCTTAAATGAGTTGCTTCTCCCAATTTTCCTTCTTCTGTAATGATATCCCGGTTTTCTGTGCTGCCATTTCCAAGCAACAGACAGTCTAGCTTAGCCTGGTTTGCAATGTCTTTCCCAGTCACTTCTTCTTTTCCATCTTTCACAGCTCATTTTCTCCAGTTTTCTCTTCCTAATAAAGACCTTATTAATCTCATGTCCTGACCATTCTATTTACAATTGAGCCACCTCCATATTCCCTATCCGTTTCCCTGCTTAATTTTTCTCTAAGCACTTAGCACAGTCTGCCATGCTATGTATTTTGTGTGTCTATTTTTGTCTCCATTGAGTGGAATGAAATCCCCATGAAAGGAGGGCTTTTTGTTTCTGAAACATAGGAGATGTTCAGTAAATATTTATTGAAGAATAAGTCAATAAAAACATGTAAAACATGTACCAGAAAATCAGACTCAATTTATACAATTTTTACTGCATAAACTTATTACAATGTGAATCTGATTTTCTGAACTAAACTGTAAGTTTTTTGACAACAGGATTAATATCTCATCATTTTTCTTGCCTTATGTCACACTCATTCACTCCCAACTCCACTGAAATACACATCTCTGTTCTCAGCATGGGCAGCACAGGACAAAAGCTGCCATAACTACTCTTTGGTGGTTAACTTGGCATGTGGGACATGGTATTTTTCCAGGTCTATAGCATGGTGGAGAGGGAAACTGGAGTGAAAGCAGGAGCTGTAGGAGGGCAAGAAGGATAATGAGGGAAGTCTCATCAGTAGGAGTGAACTGAAGAAGGCCCTGAAGTCCAGGGTAGGTGCTGGGAGATGGTACAATGCAAAATCTATAGAATGGCAGCTGTGTTTTGAGAATGAACTTCCCATCTGTACAGGCCCACAGGCTTGGCTAGTCTCTAGAGAGTTAATTGCACCCTCCTCACCCAGCAGACAATACAAGCATGTAAAAAGGAACTCAGAGAAGGTTAGTTTGGACTGGATTCTACATGTATGTAGGATGTCATGGAAGGTTACCACTCAGTCATAGAGGATTTTGAATACTTATTTGAAGGCATTTCCCCCTGTATTTATTAAGAAAAATGGGGTACTTTTGTAGGCTTATGAACAAAAGGAATAAATAATGAGAGAAGTGCTTTGGGATTCTTGAAAGAAGTAAGAGGTTGATGGAAGAGGGACAGATAGGGAAACCTATTAGGAGACAGGTATTTAAGAGGACATGAACTTGAACTAATGTAGTCACCAAGGGAAATAAGTGGGGATTGGAAATATTTTCAAGTGATGTTTCTTGGGTAGTATCCACAGAGTATGCAAACAGAGTAGAAAAATGAAAAAATTTGAATTTTCAAATCTTCATAGTAATAGCAAATATTGCGTTTCAGGCAGTAGTATGAGGGCATTACCTTTCAGTTGGCAGATTAAACATCTCCACTGGGATGACCAATAGGTATTTCAAGATTAACACATATAAAGCTGAGTTCCGATATTTCTCCTCAAATCTGCCTATTTCTGTCTTTTCCATCTCAGATAATGGGAAATCCTTCCAGTTATTTCCAAGATCACAATTTATCCTTGACCCCTCTTTTTTTTTCTGATACCTCATTGCCAATTTGTCAGTAATGCTTGTTGACTGTACCTTCAAAATATATCCAGAATTTGCGATTTCTCACCATGGTCACTGTCATTACATGGTCTAATTACCATCATGTCGCACTAGGATGGTCTCAGTGGCCCTCAACTGTTCTTTCTGTGCTTCTGCTCAGGCCTCCCTTCAGTCTCTTCTCTCACTACAGCAACCAGAGTAATCTACTAAAGCATAGAATGATTATATTAAACTTTGTTTCAAAAACTGTCCAGATGAAGTTGGAGGCCTTAGCGTGTGCCCAAGGCTCTTCATAACCTTCGCCCCGGCTTACTCAAGTCTAGCCACCCTGGAATCCTTGTTCCTCTTGGTTGCCTTCTCACAGCCTCTGTACTTGTGTTTTCTTCTTCCTGGAACACTTTTCCTCTGGAGATCTGTAAGATTTGTTTGGGGTCTTTGCTAAAATGTCACATTATGAGTAAGACTACTCTATTTAAAATTGCAACCTGTCCCTCTCGCCTTCACATCCTTTTTCTCCCATTACACTGCTCTGCTTGCCCGCCCGCGCACCCTTCCATGCATTCATTACTTAGGGCCCCTAGTGAGAACATGCCATACAAAGGGAAAGGCGGGGGGGCAAACTCAGAAAGAAAGGTGGAGAGACTCTACATTTTCCCCCTAGCTGGAGCCACAAATATAGCATTTCCCCACACTATCCTTCATCTTTAGCCAGCCAGCTTTCTTATCTTAGCACCTGAGACTGAACAAGAAAGGAGGATGATGAAAAGTTTTAACACAGAAGAACGTTTAGAGGAAGGATTTGAATCATAGTCTTTTTCAAGCTGTGACCTTCAAATGCTCTTTGAACTCTGGATACCCCTCACACTCTATCTAGAAACCATTTCTAAATTTGCTCCTGTAATAAAACATATTTACTTTATGCCTCTGCGTCTTTTGCTCAGCTCTGTGAAAGGCAGCAGTGAAAAATCTAAAGTGTCAAATCAACAAAGGTTGGGCATGGCCTCCTAGCTCTTGGGAGCAATGCTGCTGAAAACAATCAAATGGTGTACTTTGTCCTCAGGTGAATGCAGACAGGGTCCTGCTCCTGGTCGCTGCTGTACCGCTTGCTGTGAAGGCCCAGAGAAAATTATAGACTGTCCATCCCAGGGCCAGGCCCTGAGAAAACTGATGAATTTGCCTTGTTCAGGGCTGCCTTGATGTCTATGCATAGATGTCTCATCTTCGTGGCTACCAAATCTGCATACACAGAAAGATCTCTTTTTTAATCATGCTGATTTCTACATGTTCTGAATCTGAATTTTTGGGAGTGGAGGGTCCAGAAATCTTTATTTATAACAAGCTTCCAGGTGAGTCTTCTTTTTTTTTGAGACGGAGTTTCGCTCTTGTTACCCAGGCTGGAGTGCAATGGCGCGGTCTCGGCTCACCGCAACCTCCACCTCCTGGGTTCAGGCAATTCTCCTGCCTCAGCCTCCTGAGTAGCTGGGATTACAGGCACGCGCCACCACGCCCAGCTAATTTTTTGTATTTTTAGTAGAGACGGGGTTTCACCATGTTGACCAGGATGGTCTCGATCTCTTGACCTCGTGATCCACCTGCCTCGGCCTCCCAAAGTGCTGGGATTACAGGCTTGAGCCACCGCACCCCGGCCCCAGGTGAGTCTTCTACAGCCCGTTAGTGACTATTGCATGGACCAGTGTTTGGAAGCCACTGTTCTTCCTCACTCTCAACTGTTACCCCATCTACTTCTGAGAGCTGGTTGATTGTGAACTAAATCTAAATCACAAATAACTTTGTTCTTCATGAGATAGAGGTGTTTTCTCTTACTTCCTGAAACTTCATCTTATTTGTAAGCTCCATCTCTCAGTCATATACTGTGTATTTACCTAGGAAGTACCCACAGTCATCAATTATCCCCCTAACATGGTCCCTAGACATGTGCATTCCTCTCTACAAGAGTGAGATTAAGTGGTATGCATGGGTGAGGGAGGGGGGTGGTCTCTGGGAGGCACCAGCTGATAGGAAGCCTTAAACACAGCTGGGTGTGGAAGAAGACTAGGAGAGTTGTATTTACCAGCATTTAATCAGAGAGTGAAAAGCATAGTTTGAAGGGTTACTTTGGAATGTGGCTTGGAGAAGGGGTTTCTCTTGAGAATCATGCTTCAGTAACAACAGATGGTCTTCTTGAGATGGGACGAATTTGGTTAGTGGCAGAGTTTAGAGAAGAAAACTATTGTATGGGATCTTCTGGTTTGAGGCTTGGGCTCCATAAATCCATCTCTGCCTTTCTCCTCATAGGAGTCATCATCTTTTCTGAATAGATAGTAAACAAATATGGTCTACCAGGAGGGAGACTCCAATGGGGAGTCAGACAGTACAGATTTTAGAATGGCTGTCACTGCTCTGTGGTAGCTTCCGTAATCTTTCCCAGAAGACTGAATCCCAGCCCAAGCATTTTCTACCACTGTGGCATGGTCTACAGATTGACTCCTTATAGGCTGAGCATGTGTTACCTCTCCTACAGGTTGTGAACTTCTTAAGGGCAGTGCTCCTGTTTCATGTACAAGTTTGTTTATTCATTCTTTACATTATTTAATAGTTCTCTACTATGGTTAAGGCACTTTGATTTGACAAAGTAAAACCATAGGATAGGAAAGAGATAAGAGGGCAATAGCAATGGTGAACATTAGTCAATTCTGATATTAAATTTATTTATCTTTCAGGTACTTTGGAAGTTTATTTAACCATCATGATAATCCTATGATGTGGTCACTATTATGATACTTTTTTTACAGATGAGAAATTGAGACACAGGTTAAGAGAACTGTCAAGAGTTCAGAGAGAGAGAGACAGGAAGCGGTTGGTCACATTCCAACAAAAGCCAGCCAAAGCCATTTCTGCCTGGCAATTAAATGGAGGCTGGCCTTAAGTTGCGGGAAGAGACGTATCTTTAGAAATCAATTGATGAAGACACTCAAAATTAGAAATTATAGCAATTATAGAAACAGAGTCTAAAGTTTTTAATTTTCAATAAATTGCAATATGATACTAAAAAGTTCAACCACCTGCAGTTGCTATTTCCATAATGTCCTCAGTGAAACTACTCTTCAGATATAATTATAAATAGTTTTTTGGGTCTGTTGGGCTCCAACTGAGAATTATAGTCAAGATTTTATCCAGAGTGGGCAAATCAGGAAAAAAATCCACTTAGAGAATTCTGTTTTAAATAAGGATTCTTACTCTCTGTGTGTGCACAGTATTGCACTCAAGGCTGGGGGCCAGTGACGGTGGGGGAGGGAACATAGAAGAAAAATCCCCATGTAAAGTGAGAGTTCTGTGTGTTTTGCTCAGGGTTATATCATTAATTCTTGAAGACTTAGGGGTGGCTGGCAAGGTGGCCAAATAGGAACAGCTCTGGTCTGTAGCTCCCAGTGAGATCATTGCAAAAGGTGGCTAATTTCTGCGTTTCCAACTCAAGTACTCAGTTTATCTCATTGGGACTAGTTAGATACCAGATGCAGCCTACAGAGGGTGAGCTGAAGCAGGGTGGGGCGTCTCATTACCTGGGAAGTGCAGGGGGTTGGGAAACTCCCTCCCCTAGCCAAGCTGTGAGGGACCATGCCATGAGGAATGGTGCATTCTGGCCCAGATACTACACTTTTCCCATGGTCTTCACAACCCACAGACCAGGGTATTTTCTCAGGTGTCTATACCACTAGGAACCTGGGTTTTAAGCCAAAACTAGATGGCCATTTGGGCAGACACTGAGCTAGCTGGAGTTTTTTGTTTTCAGCAAGACAGAATTGTTCACTCCTCTGGAAAGGGGACTGAAGCCAGGGAGCCAGTGGTCTTGCTCAGTAGATCCCACCCTCTCAAAGCCTAGCAAGCTAAGATCCACTGGCTTGAAATTCTTGCTGCCAGCACAGCAGTATGAAGTCGACCTGGGATGCCCGAGCTTGGTGCGGGGAGGAGCGTCTGCTGTTACTGAGGCTTGAGTAGGTGATATTCCCTTCACAGTGTAAACAATGCCCTGGGAAGTTTGAACTGGGCGGGGCCCATGCAGCCCAGCAAAGTCACTGTAGCCAGACTGCCTCTCTAGATTCCTCCTCTCTGATAAGGGCATCTCTGAAAGAAAGGCAGCAGCCCCAGTCAGGGGCTTATAGATAAAACTCCCATCTCCCTGGGACAGAGAACCTGAGGGAAGGGATGGCTATGGGTGCAGCTTTGGCAGATTTAAAGGTTCCTGCCTACCAGCTCTGATGAGAGCAGCAGATCTCCCAACATAGCTCTTGAGCTCTGCTAAGGGACAAACTCCCATCTCAAGTGGGTCCCTGACCCCTGTGCCACCTGACTGGGAGACACTTCCCAGCAGGGGTCAACAGACACCTCATGCAGGACAGCTCCGGCTGGCATCTGTCAGGTGCCCCTCTGGGATGAAGCTTCCAGAGAAGGAATAGGCAGCAGTCTTTGCTGTTCTACAGCTTCCAGTGGTGATACCCAGGCAAATAGGGTCTGGAGTAGGCCTCCAGCAAATTCCTACAGAACTGCAGCAGAGGTGCCTGACTGTGATAAGGAAAACTAACAAACAAAAAGTAATAGCATCAACACCAACAAAAAGGATATCCACACAAAAACCCCATCCGAAGGTCACCAGCATCAAAGACCAAAGGTAGATAAATCCATGAAGATGAGAAAAAAACCAGTACAAAAGGCCAAAAATTCCAAAAGCCAGAATTCCTGTTCTCTTCCAAAGGATCACAACTCCTCACCAGCAAAGGAACAAAACTGAATGGAGAATAAGTTTGATGAATTGACAGAAATAGGCGTCAGAAGATAGGTAATAGCTCCACCAAGCTAAAGGAGCATGTTCTAACTCAATGCAAGGAAGCTAAGAACCTTGAAAAAAAGGCTAGAGGAATTGCTAACTAGAATAACTAGTTTAGAGAAGAATATAAATGACCTGATGGAGCTGAGAAACACAGCATGAGAACTTCATGAAGCATACAGAAATGTCAATAGCTGAATTGATCAAGTGGAAGAAAGGATTCAGAGATTGAAGATCAACTGGATTAAATAAAGCATGAAGACAAGATTAGAAAAAAAAGGAATGAAAAGGAATGAATAAAGCCTCAAAGAAACATGAGACTATATAAAAAGACCGAACCTATGTTTGATTTGTGTCCCTGAAAGTGATGGGAAGAATGGAACCAACTTGGAAAACACTCTTCAGGATATTATCCAGAACTTCCTCAACCTAGTAAGGCAGGTCAACATTCAAATTCAGGGAATACAAAAAACACCACAGAGATACTCCTTGAGAAGAGTAACACCAAGACACATAATCGTCAGATTCACCAAGGTTGGAATGAAGGAAAAAATGTTAAGGGCCACTAGAGAGAAAGGTCAGGTTACTCACAAAGGGAAGCCCATCAGCATAACAGCCAATCTCTCTGCAGAAACTCTATAAGCCAGAAGAGAGTGGGGGCCAATATTCAACATTCTTAAAGAAAAGAATTTTCAACCCCGAATTTCATATCCAGCCAAACTAAGCTTCATAAGCAAAGGAGAAATAATATCCTTGACATACAAGCAAATGTAGAGAAATTTTTGTCACCACCAGGCCTGCCTTACAAGAGCTCCTGGAGGAAACACTAAATATAAAAAGGAAAAATCAGTACCAGCCACTGCAAAGACATACCAAATTGTAAAGACTATTGACACTATGAAGCAACTGCATCAATTAACAGTAAAATAACCAGTTAGCATCATAATGACAGGATCAAATTCATACATAACAATATTAACCTTAAATGTAAATAAGTTAAATGCCCCAATTAAAAGACACAGACTGGCAAATTAGATAAAGAGTCAAGACCTGTCAGCGTGCTGTATTCAGGAGAACCATCTCATGTGCAAAGACAGACATAGGCTCAAAATAAAGGGATGGAGGAAGATTTACCAAGCAAAAAAATAAAATAAATAAATAAATAAAAAAGTAGGTGTTGTAATCCTAGTCTCTGGTAAGTCAGACTTTAAACCAACAGAGATTAAAAAAAAAAAAAAAGACAAAGAAGGGCAGTACATAATGGTAAAGGGATCAATGCAGCCAGAGAGTTAACTATCCTCAATATATATACACCCCAAACAGGAGCAACCAGATTCATGAAGCAAGTTCTTAGAGACCTACAAAGAGACTTAGACTCCCATACAGTAATAGTAGGAGAGGTTAACATCCCACTGTCAATATTAGGCAGATCAACAAGACAGAAAATTAACAAGGATATTGAAGACTTGAACTCAGCTCTGGACCAAGTGAACCTACTAGACATCTACAGGACTCTCCACCCCAAATCAGCAGAATATATATTCTTCTCAATATCACATTGCACTTATTCTAAAATCGACCACATAATTGCAAGTAAAACACTCCTCAGCAAATGCAAAAGAATGGAAATTATAACAAACAGTCTCTCAGACCACAGTGTAATCAAATTAGAACTCAGGATTAAGAAACTCACTCAAAACCACACAACTATATGGAAACTGAACAACCTGCTCCTGAATGACTACTGGGTAAATAATGAAATTAAGGCAGAAACAAAGAAGTTCTTTGAAACCAATGAGAACAAAGAAACAATGTACCAGAATTTCTGGGACACAACTAAAGCAGTGTTTAGAGGGAAATTTGTAGCATTAAATGTCCACAGAAGAAATCAGGTAAGATCTAAAATTCACAACCTAACATCACAATTAAAAGAATTAGAGAAGCAAAAGCAAACAAATTCAAAAGTTAGCAGAAGACAAGAAATAACTAAGGTTAGAGCAGAACTGAAGGAGATAGAGACATGAGAAACCCTTCAAAAAATCAATGAATCTAAGAACTGGTCTTTTAAAACAGTAACGAACATACATGTGCATGTGTCTTTATAATAGAAAGATTTGTAATCCTTTGGGTATATACCGGTAATGGGATTGCTGAGTCAAATGGAATTTCTATTTCTAGGTCCTTGAGGAAGTGCCACACTGTCTTCCACAATAGTTAAACTAGTTTACATTCCCACCAACAGTGTAAAAGTGTTCCTATTTCTCTACATCCTCTCCAGCATCTAGCGGCACTCTTTACAATAGCAAAGACCTGGAACCAACCCAAATGCCCATCAATGATAAACTGGACAAGGAAAATGTGGCACATATACACCACAGAATACTATGCATTTATAAAAAATGATGAGTTTGTGTTATTTGTAGGCATACAGATGAATCTGGAAACCATAATTCTCAGCAAACTGACACAAAACAGAAAATCAAACACCACATGTTCTCACTCACAGGTGGGTGATGAACAATGAGAACACAGGGACACAGGGAAGGGAGCATCACACGCTTGGGTCTGCTGGTGGGGGCCAAGGGAGGAACAGTGGGGGAGTGGGGAGGTCGGGGAGGGATAACATGGGGAGAAATGCCAGATGTAGGTGACAGGGGGATGGAGGCAGAAAACCACATTGCCATGTGTGTACCTATATAACAATCCTGCATGATCTGCACATGTACCCCAGAACCTAAAGTATAATAAAAAATCAAATAAAAACAAAATAAAATAAATAAAAAAGAGTAATGAAATAGATAGACCGCTAGGTAGACTAATAGAAGAAAGAGGGAAGAATCAAATAGATACAATAGAAAATGATAAAGGGGATATCACCACTGATCTCACAGAAATGTAAACTATTATCAGAGAATACTATAAACACCTCTATGCAAAGAAAGAACTAGAAAATCTAGAAGAAATGGATAAATTCCTGGACATATACACCCTCCCAAGACTAAGCAAGAAAGAAGTCAAATCTCTGAATAGACCAATAACAAGTTCTGAAATTGAGGCAGTAATTAATAGACTACCAATTTAAAAAAGCTCAGGACCAGAAGGATTCACAGCCAAATTCTATCAGACGTACAAAAAGGAGCTGGTACCATTCCTTCTGAAATTATTCCAAATAATAGAGAAAGAGAAAGAGGGACTCTTCCCTAACTCATTTTATGAGGCCAAAATCATCCTGATACCCCAAAC